CCCATAACAGGTAGAGGTGACTTGCTAGCATACTAACAAGGAGTCCTGGGTAGATTTGTTTTGATAAAATAAGAGAAGGAAAGGTGTCGGAAGCAGCTTATACTATAAGGTTATAAGATTGAAAGTTTAAGCACACAAGAAACAAAGGGAAGGAAAGTAGAAGAACTGGTAATTGAGAATAGAACTAATCTGATTAGATTGACAATGGTCTCAATATCTGTGCTAACCAAAAAATGGGTTTTGCATATGTATACATTTTTCCAGTACACATATGTGTGCTACTAAAAGGAAGAAGAGGTTTTGCTTGTTTGACTTTTTTAAACTGGCTCCATTAAATTTCCTCAGTGCCAAAAAAAAAAAATTTCCTCAGTGCCAAAGTGCCAAAGTACACCTCAAAAAAACAAATTCAACTGAGGCACAAAATATTCAATTCCACAGCATCCAAACAGAATTTGATCTGGCTGCTTTTTATTGGGTATAGTTTAGAATTACTGGACTTGTTCATACAGATTTATTTTTTCTTTAGTCCACCTAGAACCTATAACTTTAACAGGGTGGATCCAGGAAAAGGGGAAGTTCCAGGTTCCCTGCCCCACCCAGAAGGAGGCTGGAGCTGAGCTGAGAAGAGAGGAATCTAGAGAGGAGTCTAAGAGAGAAGGAAAGGTGACCAGAAGGAGGCACATGGAGCAGAGAGACATACGAAAAAACTGAGTTTGCTTCTTGATCCTGGACTGGTTGAAACAGATGTGGGTGAGAGACCTGTGCGGAGGTTCACTATGGCACTGTTTATCTTGACTTTTTTGCTCTTTTCCTCCCAGACTTATCTGGCCATTTCTGACCCATTTCTATGGGTTCTGGCCAGAAGGTGCTTTAGTCTTGCAGGCTTTCAGGCCTTGCTTTGGGCCAATCTTTTTTGGGTAGGCTTTTACCAATGAGGTGATGGGTAACTTCGGGTGCTTGATTTAGAAACTATATTCTTTGTCTTTTCTGTATCGCACACTAGTTGTATTAAAGTTCCTTTCCATTAAAGGTCATATGTTTTGTCTTGATGTGGAGGATGGCAGAACATATTTAGAGCAGGCAGGTTTGGGGTTCAGGGTGCCCCTCTCTCCCTGCCCTGTAATATAACCACTAAACAGTGAAATTAAAATGAAAACTAAATTAGCAAATTGATCTTGATGAACAGGCCCATAACTTGGAATTAACACACCTTAAGAAATGAAAGGCTTACTTCTGCCAAATAGAGAAAAGGGCTACATTAGTCAAATTAACCATTTAGTTATACTTTACCATCCAAATGGCGTTCTCCATAAGAGCTCTCTGGAAATAGACCTCTTAGATATGTTATACATGAAATACAAGTAGCAAAAAGTTTCTTCACCATTATCAATGACTCATGTTCATTAGTGATTTGGGATGGAAAAATTGTTTCCTGGGGGGAAAAGATGAAAAAGATTAGTATTCCTTAATGTATTCAAACTGTTCAGCAATTACCATAAATACAATGGAAAGATTTCTGAAGACTTCAAATCTGATATCTTTATAGATAACACCCCCCCAAAAGAGTCAGACAGACTATTCTACTCAAAAGACCCATTGTAGACCTCTAGTCACCTCTGGAATGAGAACAAAACCAGAGGGCAATCAAGGCTTTGTGAGTTGCAGGAGACTAACTGAAGATTGCAGACTGAGAGCAATAAAAGTCCTGAAGACTGAGAAGCTTCCTTTCTTACCTAAATCTTTAGTCCCACCTAATGGAAGAAGAGATCCATATGTCATAAGCTTCTGCCTTTTTCCTAGTTGAAAAAGCAATCACTCTTCTCTCTTTTATGACCTAGAAGACTATAGTTTGAGGGTCTCACCCAGTTATAGGTTTATCAGTGAACATATTCTCTCTGTCTAAGAATCTCATCCTTAGTCTAAGAGTGAGGATAAGATCACTTCTTTCTTGTCTGTAATGTGTATTCTTCCTCTCTGTCCTTGATGCCCCATGTCCAAAAATGCAGGATAAATATCCCTGGTCTGCTCCATTATTCTTTAGATTTTATAACCCTGTGAATTCTCCAGATGAATGCACTGTTTTTCCTTTGATTATGCATCAGATGCTATTTTGATTCCTCATCTTGCTCAAGCACCCAGAGGGGGATGGGGTGATTTATTTTGTGCCTCAAAGTAATAAAAAGGAAACAGGCTTTTGAATATTGCATTAAATTGAATCTCCACAAGTGTGAACAGTAATATTTAGAACTATTTAAATGAGGTTAGGAGGTTAGAAAGAGTAATGACACATGCATTAATCAGCAAACTACAGGGCCCAATATGCCTTGATTCTCCAACAAGGAATGATAGTTTCTACCTCCAGTAGAATTAAAGAGAAGGTTCCCCAGGGGTTTATTTAGGAGATCATTAGCCTTGGATTCAGGGACATGGCACAATGGTCTCACCATGAATGCACTCTCCAGTCTGTTCTCTCTTCTGTTGTTTTGCTTCTAATTAAACCCTATTTGTTGTTCAAATAATTGATTGCACAGGTAAGGCAGAGTAGAAAAGCAGAGATAATTACTCAAGTAATTCAAGACAATTTATTTCTTAATGATCCATGGATTTGAGACCCTTCTCACAGTCCTCAGAACCCAGTACAATCTGTCCTTCACCCCCACAATTCTATACTGTTCTCAAAGTCTCCAAGAGCCTCTATCACTGACTTCTAGGTTCCTTGTCTATATAACTTGCATGCAGCAAGTGATGCTTTTACCTGCACTCTCCCTTTTCTCTCAGCTGCCATAGCATTATTTCTTATGACTTTTTACCTATCCCCCTTTATCTAGCTCAATCTTTTTTATTTTTTCCAGGTTTTTTTTTTGGGGGGGGGGTTGTTTGTTTTGCCTTTTAAATGTTGGTCTAGAATACCTAGAATTGCAGATTCCCCCCCCCTCTCTTCTTGGGTAATTTCATCTAGTCTAACAGCTTCAGTTACCGCCTAAACAGAAAACCCTTCAGGTCCTGTTTTATGTTCTGAACCCCAGTTCTCCTTTCCCCATATCCAATCACTAAATCCTATTTATTCTTTCTAAAAGTATTCTCTTTGTTTTCTTTTTTTTTATGATTTATTCATACAGAACTGGGGTACAGATCAGAGGTACAGGTGGTGAGAGGTTTCACAGAGAAAGAGTAGGGAGCAGATTGATGAAGTACACTGCTGAGGGGAGCAGCAGACCAGACAGGAGAGGTCTGCTGCACCATGTGGGTCAGCTCCCAAAAGGCAGGGGATCAAACTCACAATGAAGCAGCTGCAGCTAGCTTCGCAGTGCTGTGCTTTCAGCTGCTGAGCCACCAGGGCGGGCCCTAAAATCAGTTTTCTCCATTCCTTTCTCATTGCCAATGCCTTGGCTCAAAACATACTTAGTTCTCCCCCCCTTTATTACTGCAGCAGACCTGATCTCCCTGCTATTTGTTCTTTCTATCTTCAATCTTTTCTTCATATTACCATTTCATTATTAAAGAATATAAAACTTATTATAACACTCCCAGTGTTCATATAGATAGAATTCAAATAGCTTTGTGTAATGTTTGAGAACTGTCAAAACTTTTTCGTTGCTTAGTTCTCAAGAGTAGAAGATATAATCAACACATGTCTGATAAATTATTCATACAGAATAGGTAAAGAAGTCCTCAAATTCAAGACCATTCCAAATATCATTATTCATAAGAGCCCCAAAATGGAAAATACCCAAATATTCATCAATGGATAAACAAACTGGTATATAACCACAATGGAATACTACTGAATAATGAGAATTAATGATCTATAACTATACTTAACACATAATGATGAACAAAAGAAACCAGATACAAATGACTACTTCTGTACTCATTTATATAGTTTGTATAAAGTACAAAAACAGTCAAAACTAATTTACACTGTCAGAAGTCAGGATTGTTAAGTCTCTGGTTACCTTACTTATTCAAATTCAGGGGCTTTTTACTACACTACATAATTCTAACTGTTGAAACTTTAATACCCCTATTGCTTAAAACAAATATGACTTCATATGATAAAGAATTCTCAATAATTTTTCTATATCTAGAGAGCTCTTTCAGATATTCTACCTATGATTTTGCTATGTAAGCTTGCCTCTTGGTACACTATTTAGTGGTAATGAATTATCAGTTGATCAATTATCAGTTTTGTCAAGCCACATTACATGCAGCTGGTTAAAGGGTATACAATAAAATTAATACTTTTGCATATATGATATGACAACCCTTTATAAAATTAAATAGCTTGAATGTATAAAGACACTTTGTAATCTGTAAGGCCACATGTAGCAAGGCAGATCAATGGTTAGAAAAGGCCTCTAGAGTTCTGCTACTTCTTTTTAGTACAGGAATTTTTTTCTTAGTTCAGCTGGTCTAATATCTTAAGAGTTGTTTTGATATTTTTTTTGGCTGAAGCTTTCTCAAGAGTTTTTATTGATGTTTTTATGGATATCTAATATGAAAATACTATAACTCAATTATGGAAAACACATAACTTTTTTTATAGAGGTTAACTTTGGTTTACAATGTTGTTTTAGAGGTATAAGATCTCCCTGTTCAGGTCTTGGTACCACACCACGATCACCACCAAAGCACCCATAGTCCACCCTGCCCTCTCCCCCTCCTCTTATTAAATTATTTTAATAAGATAATGTACTAATGATAAAAGTGAATATTTGATAGCTCAGCTGTTGAGTTACATGATGTTAGGCAAGTTATTTTATTTCTCTGTGCTTTAATTTCCTGATTATTGGGAGGGGTAACTGAAATAATATAAAATCCTTGGCACAGAGCCCAGCACATGGTAAGTGCTGAATAAATCTAACTTTTATAGTTATTGTTGTTGTCTTAAGTATTAAATAGCATAATTATACAGGCACTTAAATTTTTCTGGGAGAAATAGCTCATGCAGTCCAAAGTACAAAGATCTGTTTATATCAAAAGGTCAATTTTTTAAATTTGCAATGAGCAAAATAATTGCCAAGCTGATTACAATTTATATACCCAACTCAGCATTTTCTCCTCAGGAAGGAAGCACACTTAGGCAACAAAATGAGATCAGGAGTCTGCTTGGGGCGTATGTTGAATGATGACTTGCTTTCTCTCTGCCCTAATTTTGTTTCACCTTCAGTCTTTCCTATTTCTAGTTATAATCCTAAAACCATTATTTTATTCACTTTCCTGATCACACCCACCAACTTTCCATTGATTATGGAATAAAGCATAAATTCCTTAAGTCTGGTTTTTAAATCCAGTTTAATTTGTCTCTTGAGTTCCTGTTCTATCCAACATGAGGAAACTCCTCTCCAACAAGGTAGGTTATTTGTTATTCTCTAAAGCACACCATGTTCACTTTTTATTCTGAGCCCAGGTACATGCTGGGTTTTCCTCACAAAATTATCTTCTTTCTCTGCTCTTCAAATTCTTTTCATTTTCATTATTTAAGGTCCACCTTCAGTCCTCTCTCCTTCATGAGACAAACCATTCTAGGATATATAAAAATCTCTCAATTCTTATAAGTTGTACTGTTTTACTCTTTCACATATATGTAATACACACACTACTTTGTGCATTAACTTCTATAAATTTTATTTGCCTAACTAGATCATAAACTTTGGATGAAGATCCTGTTGTTGGTTTTTTTAATGCAGAAGTAGTAACATTATTTCATATATATTAGATAATGTTGAGCTCTCAATGAAAAAACAAATGATTCATTAATGAATGCCCCAGGACAAGATAATCTCAGATGAACCCAGAAAGGTTGCCTGACCCTGGCATGCTCACCCAAGGCCCCAGCATCCAAAATTTCATTACGTTCACTCCTTCAATTCTTACCATTGCATCAGGAGTTTCCTAATTTTTGCAGGAAGTGAATGTTTAACAAAGAACCATTCTTTTTAGACATCTGTTTGTCCCTGATTTCTTACACTACAGAAAATGTAAATACATAAATATGAAACGAGGATGTTGCAAAGTTGCTTTGTAGAAACCTAATTTTCTAAACATTCACAGTCAATTAGGCGTTAAAATGAAGACGGATTCTGCCAGTATGTTACATGCCAATTAACTGAGAAAACTGCCATTCAAAAAAAAAAAAAAAAGCTTCAAGTCATGATTTTAAACTAAGTCACTAAATAGACATTGATTTTCTCTTAATTCTTAATATACCTTAGATGTCTTGTGAATTCTGATGGAATGACAAAGTTGAGCAGTGGCCATTATAAAAATGTATCAGGATTTTTTAAACAAGTCAAACCTGTTAAAAGAAATAAATTTTAGAGACATTGCTTAACATAATACTTTAATACACCCTCTGCTATTTTGCCCCATTTCAAATTGAAAATTTCCAAAAATTAAAATTAAAATCAAGGATAGTTAAATATAAACTTTTCTAAGTTGTTCAATTTAGAGAGAAATTAAATGAGCTACTTTTGAAGATGAAAAGATGCTCTCCCTGGTGACACAGTGGGTTAAAAGCACAGCATTATGAAACTATTGCAGCCACTACAGCACAAGTTCGGGTCCCTAGCCAAGTGAGTCACTCACATGGCACAGCAGACCTCTCCTGGTCTGCCCGCTGCTCCTCTCAACAGTGTATTTCAGTCAGTCTGCCTGTTCTGCTCCCCACTCTCTCTCTGGTGAAACCTCACCCCCTGAACGTCTGGCCTGTACCCCAATTCTGTATGTATAAATAAATAAATCTTTTAAAAAAAAAAGAAAAGAATACAAAATAGTTCTAGGAGACTATTGTAAACTATAAAATGAATCTAAGTTGGAAAAAAAAATCCTTACTGTGAATTTTCTAAAGAACATATAATTAGCACTGAACTGTATTCTTTGGAAAATCAATTTAATAAGCAGCTTTATCTTCACTACCAATTTTTAAATAAACTTGACATAACATCTCTGGATTAATTTTTCTAACTATAAAATGCAAATTTAAGCTGAGTTTCTTGTTTCCAAAGACATGTGAAGGAGAAAAATAAACTGTAAATTACCTAAGAACCAACAATATGTTACTCATCCTTGTTACTCCCATAGGTTATAACAGTGTTCTGTAGTACTGTAGGAGGGGCTCAAAAAAATTACTGAATTAATTATATTGATGTGTAATTGATTTACAAATTCAACCCAAAAGTTGAAGTATAAAATCACACCCATTAAAAATGCAAAGTTAACAAGTCCTGGAGATGATGTGGAGAAACTGAAATCTTTGTACACTGCTGATGGGAATGTAAAATGATTTAGTCACTATGGAAAACTAGCCTTAAAAAGTTAAATAGAAATACCTTATTTCCAGCAATTCTAATTTTATGTATACATCCAAAAGAACTGAAAGCAGGAATTCAGGTACTTGAATACCAATGTCACAGCAGTATTCTTTACAATAGCCAAATTGCAGACACAACCCAATGTCCATCAACAATTATTGATAAATGGATTTTAGTGTGATTTGTGCAATATTAGTCAACCTTAAAAAGAAAATTCTGAAACATGCCACAACACAGATGAATCTTGAAAACATGCTAAGTGAAATAAACCAGATACAAAAGGACAAATATTATATGATTCCACTTATATGAAGTAGGAGTAGTCAAACTCATAGAAGCAGAAAGTAGAATTGAGATTAGATGGGGCTGGAAGGTAAAAGGAATAAAGAGTTTAACTTACTGTTCAGGACAATGAACATTTTCTAGAAATGAATAGTGGCGATGATTACACAACACTCTAAATGCTCATAGTGCCTCTGAATTATACACTTGAGAATAACTGCAGTAGCCAGTTTTATATCATGTGTATTTTACTTCAATAAAAGATGTTAACATTTAAAACACATCTATTTTTCACTTCTGTTGTTTCAGTTACATAAAAAAGTGACAATCAAAAGTCTTAATTTAGCTTCATATGGGGCTTCTTTCAAGATTTTATAGCATTCTTATACACAGTTTTAAAATAACCTATTCAAAGAAATTGCATTTTGGATCATCCTGGATACCTGTGACTTGTTTTGTATATAGATGAATGCAAAATTTTGGAAGAGCTTGCAAATAAAAGAGGCAGAATTATTGAAGACACTGCCACAAGGTGGTGACAGAGATCATAAACAGGTAATATTTAATTCTCTCAAATTATTTCTTCAGAGCAGCACAAGGGGACGCTCTTAAAATATTTTATGAGATTGAAAAGCACCTAATTGTCCTTTGGTTCTTAAATATTCAAAGATATAGATATTTGTTATTTTTTTATCATAGAGTACAAACTTTATTTCTGAATATAACCTTCAAATCTGATTCAACGCATTAGTTGGGCTTCCTCTCTGACAACCTCAAGAAGTAAAATGGGAAAAATAAGTAAAACAAGAGTTTAAGCTCTAGTTTTGGTCTATTAAGCCATAGTAAATTACCCCCTATTGGGGTAGTTATTAGTTTTGGAGATAATAAATAAGAGGAATAATTATTTTAAAATAGCTTTCTATATTGGTGGCTTTTTATAATTCCTCCATGATCATGAAACATTTTTGTGCCATTTCTAGATAATCAAGCACTGAAAATAGCATCAACCAATTAGAGCACAATTCATTCCCATTCCATATTTTTGAAATGTATGAATAGCCTAGGTCACTGAAAACTCTAAAACATTCAGAATATTTGTTTTTGAGAAAGGATTCAAAGCTAGTCACTATTAGTATTTGGTAAGTACCTGAGGAATTAACATCTATAAAGTAAGTAAAGTTAAATTTCATAAACACATGTGAGTGTATACATGGAACAATAATTGGCAGTATAATCTAGTAGAGACTTTGGAGCCTACAAACCTAGATTCAAATTCTGCTTACTCACCTAGAAGCTGTATGACTTGATCAAATACTAAATCTTCCCAGGAATCTGTTTCCTTTTTGTAAAATGGAAATTACTGAATTGATAAGAATATAATCTTCTCAGGGCTCTTAGTGTTTATAAGAATATGTATTTATCTGGAGAGATAACATAATATAGTGATGATGTCATTTTGGAGTTCAGGGTCCTTGGGTTCACTCTGTGAAAGGTTTCGCCAAAGGTCCCCTTTCAGTAGTATGCAGCAAGTTCCCAGGCGAGTTTCTCCATGAGACACTCAGTTATATTTAAAGAGCAGGTTTATTAAGGAAAAGAACAGAGGAGCAAGGGACAGCTGCCCCACAGGGACAGGTTTGCTGAAAGAAGCCTGCATGGTTGCAGGAAGGCAGCCTTAGGAGAGCACCCTTTGCTGAGGGGGGTCAGTGCAAAAAAGCCCGGGCATGGTACAGGTCACAGACATATGCTGTCCTACAGAGGAAGGGAGTGGGTGAAAAGAGGCACCTGCATAGGCACAGGTGGGCAGAAGACTGCTGCCCCCGGCCAGGGCAGAGACTGCACTAATATAGTCCTTTTCTCTTTGGGAGGGGCTCACTCCTTTGGGCAGGACCTGTTTGCTCTGATTTTGGATAACTGTGTGGAATCTCACAGCTGGCTCAATCTCTGTATCTTTACCCTCAGGTCTGTATTTCTGATATTCCCTACAGCAGTCTGATATAGGAGTTTCTATGACTGGGTTCATGGTCATGTTAGTTCCTTCTGCCCCCACCTCCTTGCATGAGTCAGGTTTTAACGTTGTGATCTTTCCTTCAGGTTTTCTATTCTTTTCTTCCATCGGTGTAGTAACTGAACTCTTGGAACCAAACTGCCTAAGATCAAACCTCAGTCTCCCAATCATCCCCATAGAATCTTGGGTTGTATGTCTGTCTCCCCATCTGTAAAATGGAGATAGTAGTAGTACCTACTTTGTAGGGTTCTGTCACTACTAAATGAGTCATTATTTATGCACTGACATATATTTCATTATATATAACAATGCATATTTGCTTTTTAAAAATATATACTGTTAGTGTTTGAACTCCTACTTTTCCCTCAGCCTCCCACTTGTTTTTTACTGTCTTCTTCATATTTTTTTTCTCCTGCACATTTCTTAGCTTTCAGTGTTCTTTAGGGCCTGTCCTAGGAGAGAAGCTTTTTTATTTCATTTCTTTTTAAATTTTTAACTTCTAAATACATTCCCAGGCTGAGCACACTCACATTGTTCCAATTATTGTTTAAATTCTAATGATTTGTACATATATATCCCCATGTATATTTTACTGAATATTCCTTGTCTGGAACATCCTCCCCCATTCCCGATTCCTACATTGCCTAGATGTGGCTTAGTATACTTTTCTTAAGGAATTACTTCCTGATTTGCCACCACCAAGTCTGGGTTATGTGCCCATTGCAATAAAATATTGTATCATGGCTCTATTTCTGTATCATCCCCCACCATCACCATGTGAACTAATAGAAAATAACATTGTGTCTAATTCATCATTATTTAAAGGTACAATTCAGTGGATTTTAGTATATTCACAAAGTTTGCAACTATCACTATTTAATTCCAAAAGACTTTCATTACCTCAAAAAAGAACCCCTAAGCCCATTAGTGTTAGCTAACACTCCCCATTCTTCTCTCCCCTGGTTCACAAGGGGATGCGGTGTTTGTCTCACAGTTTACCTATTCTGGGCATTTCATAAACATGGAATCATATGTGACATTTTGTGTGTGGTTTAGCTCACTCTCGAATCTTCCTAAGCACTATCACAGTGCTAGAACAAAGTAGGTGCTCAATAAACATTTGCTGAATCAGCAGATGCACACTACAGGAACAAGGAAAAACAAAAGCCCTAGAAAAGAATTACAAAATTTTAGAAGTTGAAGGAACTTTAAATTGTTGGCTAGTCCAAACATTTTATTTTCTAGATGAAGGAAATCAAGGTCCAGAGAAGTTAATTGACTTGCCCAGGGTCAGTCAACCAATAAGTGGCAAAAAGAAACTAAAACTCTAGAAATTTTGACTCACAAGTTAGGGATTTTTCTATAATGGCTCTCCAAAAGGAAATCCTCCTTTGCTTTCATTCCATCTAAAATGACTCACCACCAGCTTTCTCATGTTGGGGGTGCCTCTTGTTCTTGTACATTCTAAAGATGAAGGCATTCTCTAGGATGATTTAGGAAGGCAAAAAAAAATCTAAATACTTTTTTTTTTTTTATAATACCTAGGCCCCTTTCAAGCTCTATTGCTACTGTTGTTTTCCTGTTGAGCAGGTATTTTGTGGAGGTCTCCTAATGAAGTACAAACCCTTCTTAATTTTGAACGCTCACAGCCTACGGCCCCA